TACATTATATCTATAAATATAACGTATAAACAGAAAATATATTAAATAATTGTCGAACATAATCCTTTTCCATTATATATATATATATATATATATATATATATATATATATATATATATATATATATATATATTGTTTGTGTAAAAAACGCTAAAATTTCCCTTTCTGTCTACCGATGGTTTAGGGGTAGGATCTGTGGCTAATGCCAAATTGGTCGAGTTTTCGATCTCGGCTTGAAGCAATCGGACGTCTAACCACACTGAAGAGCTGTGATACAGCGAATCAGCCTGTCTATGGATGACTATATATATATATATATATATATATATATATATATACTACAGGCGAAATGTTTAGGGCCATCCCGCATTTCTTTAAAAACACCTTAAAACGAGTTATTTTTTTAAAGTAAAGGATAAAATTTCACAAACTCCAGTGTATTTGCTTTCATTTTTCAGTCTTTCTCCAGGCTCATCTTACCAGCATAAAGTTCAAATTTGGATTCGTCTGTCCACAGCAGATTTTGCTAAATTATGAATACTTTGTATGAAAAAAATTATATTTTGTTTTCACCATTAACTCCTCAGTATAGGTTTTTAGATTACTAAAATTTACAACTTAGTTAAATGTTAACATAGATTCTAATTGTTAACTCAGCACTGATTAATGTTGTAAATAAGAAATATGTAGCCGTCTCTGTTTGAAGAAAAGAAAAGGTTGTGTCATTACGTCAGAATTTTCATATTTTTTTATTTTGTTAAACTTTGAAGTAATTTGCACAAAATGGCAAAATCAAAGCAGCAGAACATTAAATCAGTGGGTTCGAAGGAGGGGGTTGCATAATCATCAAGAAACTCATGTTACGGAAGTTTAATAGACACAAAAGTCCATTATGAGGGAAAAAAAAAACGAAATAACTGGACATTGAAAGAGTGGCAAAATTTATTGTGAACAGACAAGTTCAAATTTAAATTTTCTAATATTAAGAGGAGAGTGTATGTAAGAAGAAATCCAGGCGAAAGTTTGAATGAATGGGTGTTTTTTTTTGTTTGTTTTTTTTTCCTGGCGTGGGGGTTTTGCGGGAGAAAAGCCTGTTGATTTGATTCAGGTCAAGGAAATTATGAAAAAAGAACAATATCATTTGATTTTGCAAAGATATGCTATACCATCAGGTTTACACATAATTGGAAAAAAAATCGACCCAAAACACTCTTCTCCATTATCTCACAATTACCCCGAGTCAAAAAAAAAAAAAAAAAGTTATAAACTTTTGGAAATTATGACTAGGTTGGCTCAATCTTCTGACCTTTCTCCCATTGGATTAGTATGAAATGAATTGGATAGAAGAGTTCGAAGAGAATACCCAAAAGAGTGAGCGTGAGCTTTTTCACTAGTTGAAGACTGCTTGGGATTAGGCCATCTACTCTTTTTTCGAAAACTTTTGAGAAGAATGCCAAGAATTTGTTAATTGATTAATTTGTTTATTAATGAGCATATCAATTCCTTACCAAGACTTTATAAAGCAGTAATTAAGGCAGGTGGTGGATTTATTGAGGAAAACGAATGAAGTTGTATAATCATTTCCATAGTTAATTGTTTGTTTATTGTCAAAATAAAAGCAAATGCAGTGTAGTTACTGAAATTTTATCTTTTACTTAAAAAATGCAAAAAATGTTTCATTTTAAGGCGTTTTTTTTCAAAAATACTGATGATGACCCAAAACGTTTTGCTCCGTAGTGTGTGTGTGCATATATACATATGTCATTCGCAGACAGAACTGTTACGCAGCTCCTCAGTGCTACTAGACAACCGAATGCCTCAAGCCCGGATGGAAACCCAAACGATTTTGGTGTCAGTCAGTGTCTCTACCACAGAGCCATCCTCACTCGACAGAATGAGTCAGCCAAATCTAGCGTATTGTTTTTACAAACGTAAACAAATGCCACGCAGCCGTAGTTCTCCATTCATTTTACTAAAGAGCTTTGCATTTACGCAGGTGGCCGTTGTTTTTAGAATTAGCTTGTCATTGAATATATTTTCAAGAGCTATATATATATATATATATATATATATATATATATATATATATATATATATATATATACGAGGTCTTTCTGAAAGGGAACGGGACTGGTGTCACAACCAATTCATTTCGATTCCAAGCAAAAAACTACATGGTTTTCCACTTCAAAGTAATCCGCCTAATGCACTTTTCCATCCATCTCTGCCACGCTTCTATGCACGACTGGATTATTCTTGAATGCCCCTCAGCTCCGTCGTTACGGCCCTCTTGATGGCCTCTACATTTTCAAAACTCGCCCCCTTGATGAATCCCTTGGGCTTGACGAAAAGAAAAGCATCACCCGGAGCAAAATCATGTGAATAGGGAGGCTGTTCCAGTAAGGCGATGTTTATTTCTCCGGATGTTCATGGCGTTGTGAACAAGTGCATTGTTGTGGTCAAGCAGGTACGATTTATCCGATAAAAAAATTGCAATGGTTGCAGATGGCTAATATTACAGTGATATACTCTTAAGTTAGGTGATAACACAATCTGCTTATCCCTTTTCGCCTTTATTTAACACACCTATCACTGTCCCGTTACTTTTAAATCAGACCTCATATATATATATATATATATATATATATATATATATATATATATATATATTTTCACCGATAGCATGACTCAGAGTTTGAATGCAAAATGCAATCTTCAGGTGCTGAGTACAGAATGTCCATTACGTAATGGTTAGTCCTATACTCAGCACCTGAAGTTTGCGCTGTACATAGAAATCAGGGTCTTGCTATCGATGAGGATAATATCTATATTTAATAATGAATATATATATATATATATATATATATATATATATATATATATATATATATTTTGATAGCTGTATTGTATTGTATTATTGCATGTATATTTATTAATATATATATATATTTTAATAGCTATATTGTATTACATCGAGTATTGTCTTGTTAAGACAAGCACTACATGTGCAATATATATATATATATATATATATATATATATATATATATATATAGATAGATAGATAGATAGATAGATGGGAAAAAAGATATATTAATTTTGATCCGTAGACGTACTGGGATGTCCAAAGACACATTCCAAAAGCTGGGCAGAGTATTGCGAGACAGGAGGATTTCTTTGATAACAAAGAAAAGACTACTGAGCTGTTATGTATTCTTTACGACAGCGAATGTTGGACGATTTCCTCAAAGATGATGAAGAGACTCGAGGCGACAGAGATGTGGTTCTACGGAAGGATGCTAAGGATATCATGGACTAAGCGTGTGAGCAACGATAAGGTCTTAGAGAGGATGTAAACAAGGAGGATACGTATACTTTATATCAGGAAGAGAGGGCTGAAGGTTCTTGGACACATGAGGAAGGAGAGCCTGGAGAATCTGATACTCACGGGTCGAATAGAGAGAAAGAGAGACAAGGGAAAACAACGGGCTAAGTGGATAACAGAACGTGGTCTGGGGGAGGAAGCAGGGGGAAATAACTTGTTAAGAGTTGCAAGGGATAGAGGGAGGTTGAGAGCCATGATCGCTTACGTCCCGAAAGGACATGGCACATAAAAAGAATGATAAGCCAGAACAATGTTAGGAAAATCAATGACGACGCGGAAAAAATGTTTGTGTGGCGCATTTCGTCCTTTAGAACGTCATCGGACTAAAGTGAGGTTAGGTGAGCCCTCTGCTCTGCACTTTGACTTCGGTCCAGTTATGCTCCAGCGCCCAGCTTTACTCTACCATCACAGCACTGGCTACATACCTATTTATGGGACCCAGTTTCCGCCATTGTGTTAGATGGCCTTTGAACTTACAAGAAAGTCATTCTACCCTTTAGACAGGTCTTGTATTTAATACCTGTTGTTACCCACCTCAGCAGAAAGGCCTTGTGGGTGAACCGGTTTCATCTCCAATCACTTGACTACGCGGCAGGTAAATACTTATTTACCTGTTACAAGTGCACTCGTAATGTGACCTGACACACACACACACACACACACACACACACACACACACACACACACACACACGTAGACATACGTGGGTTACAGGGCGCGTGGTGGACTGGTTAGCAAGCTTGTCTCTGAACGAGCTAGATCATTTACAACTGTGTAGTGAGTTTGCTCCCCACCGGATGCGCTACACTTTCAACCTTGTGCCACATCTAAGCTACGCTTAATAAATGTCTCTCTCTCTCTCTCTCTCTATATATATATATATATATATATATATATATAAAATATAAAAAATATAAAAAAAAGTGGCAAAAATAGCTTTGTTTTTATTGACATGAGAACAATATTTTTTTATTTTAAATTTTCTGCTATTTCTGCAAATATTTGTGTTTGACGAAGTAGTACTGATTCAAATTGTAGTAACAATCGGAAATTTCCCCAAATTTTTTCTCCAAAAAAACCTTTCTCCCACATGCAACACAATATAAACAAAAAAAAAGTTTTTCAACCCAATTTTGTATAATAAAAAGTGTATACCTATTTATCTTATAGGTAGATAATAACAGACTGAGGCAGCTAGAAACAGACCGAGACATATATGGGGATTTTCTACGCATAACATAGATATGACAAGGCCGAAAGCATGGAGCAACCAGTAAGAATCGAACTCACTATTCAGTCTTAAATGATCAAACGACATAAGCTTGCTAACCACTGCAGCACGTAGAGGCGCCCAACTGAAGTATATATGAATAGGTTGAGATATGAACAGAATGAGACATATATGAATATCGATAGATGAACAGAATGCGATAGATAGATAGACAGACAGACAGACAAATAGACTGAGATAGATAGATAGATTGATAGATAGATAGATAGACAGACAGACAAATAGATGAACAGACTGAGATAGATAGATAGATAGATATATGGATGAACAGACTGAGATAGATAAACAGACACCTGTTTTAGTCTTGTTGAATATATGTTCTCATGGGCATATTTACCACATATACAAACACCCTCAGTGTTTCTCTCTCTCTCTCTCTCTCTCTCTCTCACTCACTCTCTCTCTCTCTCTCTCTCTCTCTCTCTCTCTCTCTCTCTCTCTCTCTTCTTTCTCGCGTCATGGAAAAACCTTCTGGACCGAGACTATCCTAGCTACCGGTGTCAGTTTCCACCCAAAATGTTTCCTTTGCTGCTGGAATTAATAAATGTTCTTGTCTTGTCGAAAGTCTCCAGGACTACCCAATAAAGTGTAGGTTGCTTTTTACCATCTCCACCCATTTGAATGTCGGCTTCATCTATCATGGCACAGCATGCTAGGAACGGTGACACTTAGGTCCTTTGATCTGAATTTCTATTGAGCTTATCTCTCCTAGCAGATGTCTGTCTAAGGCTGAAGGGGTCTGCTTCTTCTAATGTTACAATATAATGTGTCAAAATTTCACAAAGTCTGCTACATTTTGCAGTATTTGAATTATCTAGTGTCCCTGTTATAGAAATGGCGGACATTTTCATAATGTTTATGAAACCTAGAGATGTAAAGACCGACTCTATGAAAGATCAAAGTATACAATTAATTGAAATATATATTTAAATTGCACTCATTTTTGACGCTATCAGCAAAAATAATGTGTGAAGGTCTAAATCTGATATATATGAATATTAAAAAGGCATAAATATGATATATAAGGAAATTATAAAGACATGAATCTGATATATATGGAAATTATTTCAGAAATGAAATTAAAAACATTAAATTTTCATATTCAGTGATAAAAGGTTGTTGTAGCATACCCACGGACGATAATGGGTAGGTTTCCATTTACATAAATACAGTAGTAAATACTGTATGTTGGTCTGCAGTCGGAAATTCGTCTCCAGCTGTGCTTGTCAAACACTCCGGGCAGAAAGGATCCCCAGACGAGGCTATGTCGAAAGGCGGAGTTTCGTCTCGGAAAACAGCTACTCGACCCCGTTTTATACGAAGTCTACTGAGAATTTTTGGCCGTGGCTACGGTCTCGCATACCCCATATTAAATTCGGCCTTGTACCACATCTGACGGCGTGTGGTAGTTGGTAGATATCATGCAGTTGGAGATTCCTCTTCAGCTGTGCAGAGAGGATCTCCAGATGAGGCTATGTCGAAGAGCAGAGTCTCGTTTCGGGAAACAGCTAATCGACCCCGTTTTATACGGGGTCTTCAGGGAATGTTTGACTGAGCCTACTGGCTCGGATACTCTACATTAAATTCGGCATGACTTATCCAAACAGATAACTGAAAGTTTTATAAGATCAGCGTTCCTATGAAGCAGGCATAATATCCATCTCACGCACGGTGAATACTAGACCTGGCTTCTTTAGTATTTCCCCTTTTCTAACGAGATTAATGCTCGACAAGCGTACATATAAATTTTAGATCAAAATAGAATTCTTTTCATTTTTCATTCAAAATACTCAAATTTTAGGAATACATTTTTCACAGCGTCGCCCACGTGACGACAACGTGACCATGTTTAAAAAACTTTTTGATCTTATAAAACTTTCAGTTATCTGTTTTGGATAATGTCTTGTTCTTATGTCCATCGTCTTTGTCATGTTAAATTGATAAAATTAATTATATTTTATGAATATGTCCTGAAGATGGTTTATTAGACCGAAACGTCCGACGTTGACATTAAAACAGCATAATTGCATATAAGGATTTTGTTTTTTTTCCGTATATTTTTCTTCATACTGTCGGATCTATATCCATATATTTGCTTACATATATATATATATATATATATATATATATATATATATATATATAAACTGGACTCTCCATAGTTTTTTTATTGTGTGAAATACAGAAACTCAGTTCTAAAATCGAACAGCCAGTACTATTCACTACTAGCAGTAGAGCCCGGCGTTGCCCGGGGATGTAACAGTAAGAGATAGATCAAGTATCGACCATCATAAAGACTGAAAAATAAAATTGACAAAGATTATTGTTTAAGGTTGACGGACACGCATGTCTTAATTAGTTTTTTTTTTTTTTTTTTTTTTTTTTTTTTTACGAATTGGTCAAACCCAAACTCAAATAAAAACATTGTTTTCAATTGTTATGAGTCTACCGATTGAATAGAATTTTATTATAAACAATTGTCTTGTAAATGGAATTTTTAAAGCATTCTGAATGTAAAAATAAAGAAAAAAAGTGTGCAAGACAATAAGAAACACTACCTGCCAAAAAAAAAGTGAAGTTTTGTTGAAATCGGTTGAAAAATGTAGGAAATCCGATCCCATATATAAATGAACACACACACACACACACACACACACACAAACAAACAACCTGGGTTTTATAATAAGTATAACTCGATATGAGTTGTCTCCCTTTCATTCTCGTGATGCCTCTTAACCGTGTTTTCAAATTGATTTCGTGCAAAAAAAATTGTGTTTTTACAATTTTTGGCGCTTTCAGAACCACCGCAAGGTAATTTTACGTAGTCCTGTGAAGTTTTGTTGAAATCGGTTGAAAAATGTAGGAAATCCGATCCAATATATAAATGAACAGACACACACACACACACACAATCTGCATTTTATAATAAGTAAGATTATAGGCTTGTGTAGAACCAACCAGACTTTTTGGAACAGTCAAATACAGAGAACAATGTTTCCAAACAACTCTTAGGTTTTGAATTGAGAATTGTAAGCTATGAGAATAAGAATCATTGTTTGTCCTGGTTTTTATCCCTGGCTGGGGTGAAGAGATGGATTTCATTTGTCATTTCTCAAGGGAATTTACACCTAAGCCAATGTAACGAACGAGGGCAAATAATAGGATGGTATCATTGTGGCAAATCAAATCGAGAATTTGCTAGGTTTTTCCAGGTTAATTATCAAACAGTTAATAATATTGTCAAGAAATTTAATAAAGAAGAGTGGAACAACGTTCAGGAAGACGAAGCCTCGTGTCTGAGCGAATGAAAAGGGCGCTGAAGAGGGAAGTCATCAGAAATCTTTGTCAGAACGTCAAAGAAGTCGCCAACGGCATGGAAATGTCGCCATATGCAGTGAGAAAGACCCTGGAAGAGCTAGGCTATCAAAGAAGTGTTGCAAGAAAGAAGCCCTTAATTTCAGAGGTTAACAGGAACAGGCGTATGGGACTGGGCGAGAGAATTCGAGAGCAAAGATTATAAATTTTGGCAGTCTGTAATTTGGTCAGACGAAAGTAAATTTTGCCAATATTCGAAAGGAATTTTGCCAATGTTAGAGAAAGAGAGAGGTTTATCTGCAGGTGCAGGAGAGAGAGAGAGACAGAGAGGAGGGAGAATAGTGATTGATCGGCGATAAATGTGTTAGAAAGAAAGAAAGAAAGAAAGAAAGAAAGAAAAGTGAATTAATGTATATTAAAGAAAAAGAGAAAGAGAAAAAGCGTATGTGTGTGCGCAAAGACAGAAAAAAAATGAAACAGATGATGGACTGGAGGCAAGATGATGAGAGAGAGAGTGAGTGGGATAGCAGGAGATAAGAAAGGTGATATATATATATATATATATATATATATTTAATCATTTCACCCCAAGCAAGGTGGAAGTGCCACTAATACCCAGGAGGTAACTAAAAGTGAAAATGAGAGAAAAGACCGAGTATTGGGAGGACATAAGTTGAATGGGAATCAAGAAGACAGAAGATAGCGATTGATGTTGCATTTAAATTTTTGAAGATTGTTGTTATCAGGGAAGCAAGTAAACGGAAGAGAGTTCCACAAGCGGGAAGTGCGAGAAAAAAAAACTATTGAAGTAGAAGTGGCGGATGGCGTTAGCAATTTCAACAGTAAACGGACGGTGTCTAGATTCGAATCTAGTAGCACGCTTAAATTCATGGAGTCGGGACACCAGAGAAAGAAGCTCATCAGAGCAGAATCCATAAAAATATTTGTAGAAAAGCCAAAGGGAAGAAACTGACTGAAGTCGAGATTCAAGTCAGAGCTGATTATTTTACAGATCCTTCTTTGGATTTTGTTAAGAACCACGTGATGTACAGCAAGAGCACGAGACCAAATATGGCATCAGTATTCGATGCACGGACGAATGGTAGATTTGTAAATGTGCAAAAATTTCTGGCACGACACAGTTGCCTAAATTTCTTTGTAGTAGATACAGTTATTGATTCGATCTAGTCGCTCCCCTTTAATTCATTTGAAAAAATGAGGCCAAGAAGGCACAGTGCGTTGCTCAACAGGGAGTCTCGCGATGACAGACTGAAACGTTTCTCTATGGTGCTTAAATGTGAACGGTTTTGTATATTTATATATTCACACGCTTGCTCTGTGTTTTTAATATGTTTTTGTTTGTTTTATTCGTTACCTTCCTTTCCCCCCCGTCAGCCCCCATCTCTCTCTCTCTCTCTTTCTCTCTCTCTCACACACACACACACACACACACACACACACACGTGCAATCCTTCTCTTTTTCTTTCTTTCTCTGTGTATAATCTTGCTCGTGTTTCTAACACGTTTTTATCGACCCATCATCTGTCCCACTCTGTCACACACATTTTCTCTTTACCTTTCAAATACAGTCTCTCTCTCTCTCTCCCTCCCTCCTTCCCTCTCTCTGAATATTTCCCTGTCTGGGTGCATCATTTTTCTGTCTCACACACACAAATACACACGCACACCTATACGCATACACACACACATATTCTTTCCTTCTCTGTATGTATATCATCTTGCCATTGATTCTCATGCGTTTCTAAAGATCATTATCATCTTTTTTTCTTTTCGCCTCTTTCATTCTTTCACGCAATGTACATATTTTCTTTTTCCCCCAAATTTTTTTTATCTCTCTCTATCCCACTCACTCTTTCTCATCTTGCCTCCGGTCCATCGTCTACTTCATTACTCTCTCTCTCTCTCACACACACACACACACACGCGCGCGCGCTTTATCTCTTTCTCTTTTTCTCTAATATATATTTACTCACTCTTTCTTTCTTTCTAACACGTTTATCCCCGATCAATCACCATTTTCTCTCTTTTCTGTCTCCCTCTCTCTCCAGCACCTGCAGATGAACCTCCCTCCCTCTCTCTCTCTCTTTCTTTCTCACTCTCTCTTTCCCTTTAAAAATGATTTAAAGCCAAAATTAACCATGGCTTGTTTGTCACTTACCACCTAAAACCACATTTGTCCCGACTCAGTTTCTCCCTTTCTCCCTTTCTCTCTCTCTCTCTCTATATATATATATATATATATATATATATATATATATATAATCTCATGGCTTGTCACTTTCAAACTGAGACTAAATGACACAACCAATTCTTCCCCACGGCGTGGACGATGACGACAAAAGTAACGAGGTCATCATCCCGTTACTGACGTATATTCATGTGATACAAGCAATTCAGACGATGTCACTGTTATGTCAAGTCACTTAAATTGAAGTTCAGAATAAGAATAGATAATGAGCCCGGGGAGAAACTTCAACAAGGGGGAGGACAAAAAAGTCCTGTGTAATTAATTCTTATAAAAGGCTAACAAGGAATATTATTATTTTTTTTTATTTTAGAAAATATAGATGTTTAATTATGGTGATTTTTTAAGCCAAGTTTAGATGTAACACAAGTCTGAAAGTATGAAGCATCCAGTGTAGATTGAACTCACTCGTAATTAATTTAGTGAGACAAACTTGCTAAACATTGCATCAAATCATGGTGCCCAAAGATTTACTAAACGTAGCTTTGTTGTGGAATAAGACCCTAAGTATGGTGCACCCAGCGAGGATTGAACTCACTACTCAGTCGTAATTAATTTAAGACAAACTTGTTAAACAATGCATCAAATCGTGGTGCCCAAAGATTTACTAATCGTAGCTTTGTTGTGGCATAAGGCCGTAAGTATGGTGCACCGAGCGAGGATTGAACTCACTACTCAGTCGTAATTCATTTAGTGAGGCAAGCTAACCTACCATTACACTAAACCGAAGTGCCCCCCTCAATGGATGTTTTGTTTTAATTATGTGTGGATGTGTTAAATTATCTCAATATAATTCTAAGAATTTCCTTAGTTCCTTAGCAGGCATAATTTTCGTACGTTTTTTTTTTATTAATATATATCAAAATATAATGTATTATTTCATTTTGAAGACATGAAAAGAAGGAAAAGTCATGAAAGACGCTACTGGGTGTCATTGAGAAAAGAAAGAAAGAAAGAAAGAAAGAAAAAGAAAGAAAGAAAGAGAGAAAATTATTATAGAAGAATTTAATGCCAATTTCAGTGAAAATTGTATCCCCTTACTTCTTAAAATAACGGCCAGCATTCCTATTTATGACTGCTATTGTAATATTTTGTTAAAGTCGTTAAGATGAATTAATTAAAAAATGCCATATGGGTATTTCTACGGATATTTTATTGTCGTAGAATTCGCCATGAGCTTATTCAATCATTAACTTAAGAATTAAAATTCATAAAAAAATTCAAATAGGAAAACTGTCAAATTTTCCCGGGTATTTCTAATGGATACAGGCTCGGATTGAGGAATCGGAGAGCCGAGTTTGAATTCCAGTCGATTCCATTACATTCACTTACGTGCTAATACCCTTAGGAAAGGTATGGATTCTCTTCTTCTCCCCCACCCAACAAATAAGGTGACAGACCGGGTTCTATAACCTTGGATGGTAACTGGTCTACTACAGAAAGAAATGGCAACCTACAGCGATCATGTATCACGCATTGCACATAACTGAATAACATAATACCCGTAGAGAAAACTTTCCCGTTCGACCCACTTTCAAAAACCAAGATTTCAATGACCAAAATTCAGAAATAAAGGTCGAGAACCCTTCAGTACTTGTATATGTGTTAAAAAATTTATTTATTTGCAAGCTGAGGTTATCAGAAAAGAAATTGCTAATTGCTCATCATATATATATATATATATATATATAATTATTTTTTATAAAAAAAATTATAATATAAATATGTTATAAAATCACTACAAAAATAGCCATTTTGTTTCAACACCCTCGGTGTCTTATCAAGTGATGATGTTGAATATAAAATAAATGGTTTTAAAAATTTCAAATTAATTAACGATCCTTCTTTAGGGGAAAACATTGTTACAAAAGCTAGAATGACCAATCAAAATCCAAGTATAGGAAGATTCAAAAGCTTGACAACGAAATAATGTTATAATAGCTATTTTTTTTATATATAAAAAATAATTATATCTGCTCTACTTTGTATTGAGCACTCTTTTAAGAATAGTAATTGTTGGTTATTGGAATTCATTCCGTATACACCAATTATGTACTTGGGTATATATATATATATATATATATATATATATATATATATATATATATATATAAAAACTGTTATATTAGAACATGCAAATATTTATGACAAAAAATCCATATTTGTTTTGATTTAATTAGATATGGAAACAAATATTTTCGAAAATCGTGGTTACTTTGCATAAATATCTGTTGCTCTTTTTATTCTGATAGCCCTTTTAAATTAATGTTATAAACGTTTGAATTGTTTTTTTACATTTGTAGCCATATATATATATATATATATATATATATATATATATATATATATATATATATATAACATATATATATATATATATGAAGAAATATAGTTTTATGTACTATATTTATGGATAAATTTGCTCAGTATCAGAGATACATGAATATTGAGGGAATTAACAATTATTGTATCCATAGCATGAAACAGCCTGTCGTCTGTGAATGTTGATTTCAATGTTCACTATATATATATATATATATATATATATATATATATATAAAAGTATAGATTGGTGTATACGGAATAAATTCCAATAATAACAATTGCTATTCTTAAAAGAGTGCTCAATACAGAGTAGAGCGATATATATTATTTATATAAAATTATAACATAATAACATAATTTATGTTAGAATTTTTAAATAAATAATTATATAAATATATATATATATATATATATATATATATATATATATATATATATATATATATATATATATATATATTAGGCGATTGAAAATACTTGATCGTCCACGCCCTCCGTTTTTGAGTTTTTGTAAAGCTTGTCTCTCTAACGACGTTTTCTCCTGTTGTTATCACTTTAACTGTTATTTTCAATGGCTACTTGTATTTGAGTAAACGCTCCTGTGATTTATTAAACAGTATATTTACTTATTTTCGTCTATCCGCCGGAATATTTGATAAATCTTATTAAAAAAAATATGCCCTTTCTGGATCTAACGATAGTTCTCCCTGCCCTGGAAGACGCAGGTTCGAATCCTGTCGGAGAGTGCATATTTTTCTTTAGTGTGAATTGAAGATCAAATATAGATCAGACATGGATAAGAATCCGACAAGATGATGAAATGAAATAAAGAACAAAGTAGGAAACAAATCTCAATTTAATATGTTTGACCTTTATTAAGGCTTTGTCAGAGATCGAGGATAGAAATAAAAAAAGCGAAGAAGAGACAGAGTATTGGAATGTTATGATTTTTGATAGTTCTCATTGGTCAATGCATTTATACACGTGACTTTTGTCTGACCAAAATTCGAAAATGGGTTTTCTTTTGCCTTGCTTGGTTTAATGTGCGCTGTATGATATCCGATGAAACAATTACCCCAGATTCTTCCAGGTCGGCCTTCAGGTGTTTGGATATTGTAAGTAGTTTTTTATCTTCATATTTGACTGCTGCTGATTTCGATTACTACTGCAGTTGAAGACTTGACGCCATTTTTTTTTTTTACTTTATTAGAAAAGAGGCGAGCAATAACTGAACGGTAATACTTAAAATAAGATACATGAGTAGTGGAAATGAGAAAAGTCTAACCCCGTAGATTAAACAAAGGTTTCAGTTCAGAATTCCCTGTTGATTTATATAAACATGAGGAATGTCGAAGGGCAAAACGTCCGGAACGTTGAGGCAAAAACAACAAAGATGAGGACAATCTTTCCAATATATATATAGTGTAAATAATGTTAACGCTTCATCCCAGATAATTCAGACAAAAATTACCTGATTATATTATCGGTGGGCATAATGTAAACAATATAAGATACACGGATTTCACTGTGTTAATGGCAGTTTCTGAAAGGAAACTAAAAGAACCCCAAGAGCATAGTAAAGGGAAAGCAAGAACAAAGGACTATTAACTGTAAGAAAACAAAATGCATGGTCATCAGTAAGAAAAAACAGGTGTGATCTATGTTGTGGGGACATCGACATCAAACAGGTACAGAAATGTAATTTTAGGTGTGGTGTAGTAACAGACGTTGAAAAATGTGACACAGAAATCGGAAGGCGTAAAAAATAGTGAAATATGTATTTTAGAAACTAAGCAAAGCATTAAGAGACAGGAAAATATCGTTAGAAGCAAAGAAAAGACTGATAAACTGTTATGTTATTTTATTTTCTGGCAGTGAATGCTGAGCAATCACATCGGAGATGTTATGTAAGTTCCGGTTTTCCAGCGAATGCTGAAAATAAAATGGACAGAACATGTGAGCAACGAGGAAGTTTTGGGAAAATAAGAACAATAAAGAAATGTATACTTACAATGTGAAAGAGTCTGTTAAAATTTGTTCGGCAAATAATGAGAATATTTAACATCTACAAGACACGTTAAAGGCAACTGAAGCAGAGGATAACAACAAATAACCTTCTCAAAATGGTTGAGCGAATGAATGGTAAATCAAGGACAACGATGTTATTTAGAGAAAAAAAACGACAGGAAGTTGTGAAGATCCATGATCGCCTACATCCTGAAGAGACGTGGCAACATAGGTTTAATCTTCATTCTGAATCCCATATTATCTGGTTTGTCCCAGACTGAGCAATAAACTAGATTTACCATCAAACGTAGAAAGAAAATTAGTAAGTTCACCTTACAAAATAATGAGCCAACCTCTAAAAGTGCAAGGCCAAAACTGGGTCGAAAACGAGGCCAGTCCTGTATAAATTCACCCAGACAAATATGCGCATTCACTTTACACTAAAAATATCGTAGATTTTTCTGTAACACTAGGCGTATAACCAGGGAAATAGTTAATTATATATATATATATATATATATGTCCCTTTCGTCATA